ATGCAATAATTTTACATATTTATGGGCTACAGAGTGATATTTCAATATATATTCAAGGCTTAATGATGTAATCAGGGTAAACAACATATTTATCACCTCAAACATTTATCATTTCTTCATCTTAGAAACATTCCAAATCCTCTCTCCTCACTCCTTAAACATATCCAATAAATTACTGTTAACTATAGTCACCCTACAGTGCTATGGAACACTAGAACTCATTCTTTTTATCTACCGGTAATCTTGTATCCGTTAACCAACCTCTTCCAAGCTTACCCTTTTTTCTAGCCTTCCCACTCTCTCATAACCACAATTCTACTCTCTACTTGGATGCATTCAACCTTTTTAGCTCCCACAAATGAGTGAGAACGTGTGGCAATGATCTTTCTGTGCCCGACTTATTTCACTTCACATAATGCCCTCCAGGCTCATCCATGCTGCTGGGAATGACAGGATTTAATCTTTCTGTGGCTGAATAGCATTCCATTGTGTATATGTACCATATTTTGTTTATTTATTCATCTAGTGATAGACATTTAGGTTGATTCCATATCTTGGCTGTTGTGGGTAATGCTGCAATCAATATGGGGGTGCAGGTATCTCTTCAATATACTGATTTCCTTTCCTTTAGATAAATACCCAGTAGTGGTATGGCTGGATCATATGGCAGTTCTCTTTTAGTTTTTCTGAGGAAACACCGCATTGTTTTCCATAATGGCTTACTAATACACATTCCCACCAACAGAGTGTCAGAGTTTCCTTGTACGTGCATCCTCACCTGCACTTGCTAATTTTTGTCTTTTTGATAGTAGCCCTTCTACCAGGGATGAATGACATCTCATTGTGATTTTGATTTCCATTTTTCTGAGGATTAGTGATTGTATTATTTGTATTGTAGTATTGTTATTTTTATTGTGTGTTTTTTTAATCAGCAGTTAGTTGAAACTGTGAATGCAAAAACCATGTTAGAGAAGTCCAGCTGTACATTCTAACACGAAGGAAGGAGAAGGGAAAGGAGCTATGTAGGAAAAAGTTTTTGAATAATGTTTAAATTAGTTGTTATTACTGTGAACTAGATTGTTATAAATTAAAATGTGCATTATAATCCCTAGAGTTACCCCTAAGAAAATAACTCAAAAAATAGAAAAAAAAAAACAAAAGAAAATGGTACACTACAAAGTATCTACTTAACACAAAAGAAGGCAATAATCAAATAACAAAAGAACAAAAAAGACATGAAGTATGTAGGAAACAAATATCAAAATGGCAGGCATAAATCATAACTTATCAGTAATTTTATTAAAAGTGAGTGGATTAAAATCTCCAATTAAAAGGCAGATATTGGTATGACAAAAATTTTTAAATGAGACAATTATATGCTATCTTCAAAAGACACACTTTAGATTCAAAGACACAAATAAGCTGAAAATAAGAGGATGAAAAAGATATACTAAAAATAGTAAACAAAAGAGAGCTGGAGTAGCTATGCTAATAGACAAAAAGAAACCTTAAGGTCAAAATTGTTACTATAAACAAATGATTACATTTTATAATGAAAAAGGATAAATCCATCAATTATTATAAACATATATGCATCTAAAAACAGATAAAGTATATGAAGCAAAACTGACAGACTTGAAGAGAGAAATAGACAACGGAGATTTTAATGCCCTCTCAGCAAAAATGAATAAAACAACTAGACAGAAAATAAATAGAAAACTTGAACATCACTGTCAAACAACTAGACCTAAAAGACACCTGTAGAATATTCCACCCAACAACAGCAGAATATACATTCTTCTCAAATGTACATGGAACATTCTCCAGAATAGATCGTGTGGTAGGTCATATAGAAAGTCTCAATAAATGTAAAATTGCTGAAATCATACAATAGAATGAAGTTCCTAAGCAATAACAGAAGAAAATGGGAGACATTTTCAAATATATGGAAATTAGGCAATACGTTCCTAAACAATGCATCAAAGAAAAAATAACAAGGGAAATTTAAAAATACTTTGAGATAACAAAAATAAAATCCCAACATGCTAAAACTTTTTGTGGTGCAGATAAAGCATCACTTGAATGAAAATCTATAGCTGTAAATGTCTATATTAAAAAGGAAGATAGCTCTCAAATCAATAACCTAACCTTCTGACCTAAGGTAGTAGAAAAAGAAGAACAAACAAAGCCCAATGCAAGCAAGGGAATAAAATAACAAAGATTAAAGCAGAAATAAATGAAATAGAGAGTAAAAACAATAGAGAAAATCAACAATCCCAGAAGCTGATTCTTTGAAAAATATCAACAAGATTGACAAACCTTTAGCTAGACTGGCCAAGATTAAAAAAAAGAGAATACTCCAAATAGTAGAGTCAAGAATAAAGAGAAAACATTACTACCAACCACACAGAAATATAAATGATTATAAGGTAATACTATTAACATTATATGCCAACAAATGAGAAAACCCAGATGAAATGAACAAATTCCTAGAAAGATACCAAAAGGACTCACGAACAAGGAAAAAAAAAAAACCTGTATAGACTTATGAGGAGTCTGTTTCTTGTACATAGAATGGGTGGTCATGGGGCTGCCGTAACTGGGGTGCAGGTAGAACCCCCAAGGATGCCTACACATCCTTCTCCAGTGCACTAAGACAGCTAGATAGCAACATGCAAAAGAATAAAGTTGGGCCTATACTTCCTACTATACACAAAACATAACTCAAAATGGATCCAAGACCTAAATGTAAGAGTTAGAACTATAAAACTCTTAGAGAAAAGCACAGAAGTACATCTTCATGACCATGGATTATGCAATAGTTTCTGAGATGTGACACCATATAACAAAAGAAAAAATTAGACAAATTGGAATTCATCATGGATTTAAAATATTTGCATTTCAAAAGACAACACCAAGAAAGTGAAAACACAACCCACAGGATGGCTCACACATACAGTGGGCAGTTGATACTGGCTGTTGGTCTGCAGCTCAACAGAACACACACCTTACCTCTTTGGTTAACTTGGATTTCTCACAGCGTGTGGCTGGGTTTCCAGAGGTATGTCCCAAGAGCATCCAAGGAGCTCAGGGGGAAGCTGCAAGGTTTCTTAGGACTTCAACCAGCAAGCCACATAGCATCTCTTTCACAATATTCTATTGGTCAAAAGTAAGTGACAAAGTCTTCTCAGATCCAAGGGGAGAGGACTACACAAAGGTATAAATGCTAGAAGGCATGATTAATTGTGGGGAAGAAGAAAGATGTATTTGGAGAAACTGTACCTTGAGAAAACAACGGAATTTTATCTGTACTACATTGTTTGAATCTTTAAAATGAAGAGATGAGTCTAAGTAAGTGGGTTTTCAATCCTTTTCTTTAACAATTTCACGGAGGTACAATTTGCATGCTACATAATTCATCTATTTAAAACATACAATTCAATGGTTTTAGTATATTCACAGGCATATGCAACCATCAACACAATCAATTTTAGGACATTTTCTGAATGTTATCTCAAAAAGAAAACCCATATCATCAGCCATTACCCTCTTTTTGTCCAAATAAAATATTTGATGAAATTCTTTTACATAGAATGGAGGGCCATGGAGCTGCCATGACTGGGGTGCAGGTAGAACCCCCAAGCTGTGCCTACACATCCTTCCCCAGTGCACCACGAGCAATCTCCAGCTCCTCCTTGGAGTCCTCCAGCTCCACAGAAGGCAATTTGAAAACCACTCATGGGAGCCAAGTCCATTCTTATTCTCTATGGTTCTATTTTTCAATAGCAGAATAATCACAGAAGAAGTTTAATTTTTAGGATAGTAGTGATCAAAGAGGTTTTTGAATGCTCTGGCATTTGTCATGATTAGGGTTTGACATAAAGAGATGTAGGAAAGGCAGCATGGTTTGTCAAAGCCCAGTGCATCATGTCAGGATGATTCATCTCCAAGAAGCAAATGATGATGTTGTAGAATCCAAGCCTTTGACACTGTAAAATCTCAAAGAACCAAGCTTTGGGAAGACTAGAGGGTAGAGTTATAGGATTCTCAGGCATGTGGGTGGGGAGAGAGAGATGGGAGGAGCATTGAATCCCAAAATCTCAAAAATTACAGGAGGGCAGCCAAGTGAAGAGGAAACACCACAATCTTAAGATGAAGATTCAAATACCTAAAATGGATTCAAAAATAAAGCAAATTCCTGGGAAGAATTAGTACCCCTGGAACACTGGCATGAAGGCTCCGGTCAGACACCTTCCATCTCTCCCTCCTCAAATATTCTCCCTTCCATTTAGTGAGAAGGTGTCTTGCCAAAGCAACATCTAATCCTAAAATAGATGCCAATGGGGGCAGGCAAAGTGGCTCACACCTGTAATCCCAGCACTTTGGGAGGTCGAGGCAGGAAGATCACTTGAGGTCAGGAGCTCGAGACCAGCCTGGCCAACATGGTGAACCTTCTTTCTAGTAAAAATACAAAAATTAGCCGGGTGCAGTGGCACACATCTGTGGTACCAGCTACTTGAGAGGTTGACACAGAAGAATTGCTTGAACCCAGGAGGCAGAGGTTGCAGTGAGCTGAGGTCATGGCAATGCACTCCAGCCTGGGCAACAGAGCAAGACACCTTCTTTAAAAAAACAAGAAGAAGAAAAAGAAGAAGAAGAAGAGGAAGAAGAAGAGGAAGAGGAAGAGGAAGAGGAAGAAGAAGAAGAAGAAGAAGAAGAAGAAGAAGAAGAAGAAGAAGAAGAAGAAGAAGAAGAAGTTAAAGAAGGCTAAAGGTTAGAAGAAGAAGAAGAAGAAGAAGAAGAAGAAGAAGAAGAAGAAGAAGAGGAAGAGGAAGAGGAAGAAGAAGAAGGAGGAGGAGGAGGAGGAGGAGAAGGAGAAGAACAAGAAGAAGAAGAAGAAGAAGAAGAAGAGGAGGAAGAAGAGGAAGGAGAAGGAGGAGGAGGAGAGGAGAGAGGAGAGGGGAGGAGAGGGGAGGGGAGAGGAGAGGAGAGGAGAGGAGAGGGGAAGACAAAGGAAGGGAAGGGAAGGGAAGAAAAGAGAAGAGAAGAGAAGAAAAGAGAAGAGGAAAAGAAGAGAAGAGAAGAGGAAAAGAAAAGACAAGACAAAGATGGCAATGTGATGATATCATTGACTTTATACCCCCCATCTCAGAAAGGGGCAAATATCAGTAATGTCGTATTGAATGACATTCATTGTTTGTAACACCTTGAATTTATAACCAACACTGGTGGTCAACCGATTCTTCATTCTGAACTGAAGATTGGAAAGGGACTTCAGAGAGATACCAGGGATCCATGAATTATTCAAAATAAAATTTATGTACACATGCATAGTCTTTCCAGTAATTAAGAAACTGAAAAATGTTGCATTGATACTTAATTGTTATATTATGTTCTTCTCAAAAATGTGGAGAGATTCTCCATCTCACTAGTCCAAAATCCCATAGTTTTGTTTTACTAATCTATTTTTTATAACTGTGAACATCCAATGAAATTCCCCTTCTCTGAAAGAAAGGAAACAACTGAAAAATCACTTTCTATTCCTAAAAATCAACTATAAGAGTTGGACAAAAGTGTTGGATTTGTGGCATAGTGTACCAGCAAGGAGCTCTGTTGTGGCGGCTTTTCCTCCAGCGCCTGGGAGCTGAGTGTGCTCTGGAAGGAGGAGCGGGAGGGAGCCAGTGGCTGCCTCTTGACCCAACCTCTTGGCCGCCTTTCTGTCTCGTGCTGTCTAGAGCTACAGGACCTGACAATTTGACTGGAGCATCCATGTTCCTTGTTCAGATTTCCTGATGCTTATTCCCTCGCAGTGGCCTTTGTGACGCTGTCAGTGTCTACCTCTCATAAAAATGGTGGCAATTCTTGAGACAGGATGTTTCCTCATGATCTGCAGCTGATTCAAGCCATGCGTTCCCTCAAACTTGCTTCCATCTCATTCCTCTGCTGGCTGTTACCTACTGTGTCTCAGTCACACCTAATTGCTCCTGTGTTGTCTGCACAGTGAAAGGTGTGTCACATTCCCCACACTCCTCGCACAGGCACCTAATGAGATTTGCTTCTCCTTAAGCTAAGTGGAAAAGGAGATGCTCATTTGGACCACAGATTTTCACCTGAGGTTTTACAAAATCTTCAAGTCATTTTTTTTCCTGGGACATGAAATCTACTTCCCTACATAGCCAAAACGTTTCCAATAAACATATATTCCTTCTTATTTCTTGGAAACAAATTAAGTCATTCCAGTGCATCAGCGAGGATCACTATGGTGCCAAGTATGTCATACAGCCATGGAGAGGCAAGCCATGTCTCAGGAACACTGTGCAGATCTCCTGAAGACTTTGCCTTTGGCTATGGAAAAAGAGCATGTCATCTACTTACACAATATATGCTTGCCTCTTGACTGATAACTAGTTTTCTGTGGCAACTTTCCAGGTTGAACTCATGGGCTTTTGATCTATAAATGCAGAAGACATGTTTCAGAATTCCAATTCCTTGAGAAGTTGGAGGCCTGAAAAGGATCATGTGATTATGCATTCTCCTCTCCATCTGCCTGTTTGGGGCACTGTCTCAACCCAAACCCCTACTGTCCGGATGCCCCCACTGTTGCAGATTAAGCCCCTTGCCTCAGTGCCTGTCAGGGCCTAGTGCCTGGACAGGGCTGCTTCTGCTGTGTCCTGCAGGTCTGACGCATGCACGTGTCTGGAATTCTTCTCCATCTTGGGATATTTCTATCCACCCATTAATTCCAGCTCCCTGTTACTACCTGGGATTAAGCCACAGTGGGAAGCAACTCTTTTGACTGCTTGATTTTCAACTTCAGTTCAGTTTCCCCAAGTGCCTGATGTACATTAACCGATATCACACTTGACATTCATCTATTTTGGAACAATGATTTGAATTGAAAGCTCTCACCTCAAACATAAACAACTGTAGAATATGTTTCCGTGTAAGTCTTCTGAGAAATTATCTGATTTTGCTGCAGCACTCATTGATTTAAAATAATACTGGTGCGAGACAGAACCAATCAGTAGACTCTCCTGACATAAGCTAAACATCTTTACTCCCTAAAATAGAATTATGTATGGTGTGGAAATGTATTGGAGTGAAATTATTCCTGAATATAACAATGACAATGCAATTTCCTGGATTTATGATGGGTGCTTTGGGAATTGTATAAGTGGCCTAAAAGAGTTAATGTCCCTCCCAAAGTGCTTTATTTTAATGTTTGGGAAGTTTATAATCTAGTATACTACATTGCTTTCCAGAAATACCTCATCATTACAAGCCTCCATCCATAAAAAATATTTGCTTTTATGGATGAAGATGCTCTCTCAACAAAAATATTAAATGGGGCAAGTTTGCAACTTCCTAAATCCAATCACTAAAAATTTGCCATTCTCACATTAGCACAATAATAAAAAACAACATATGTGAATATCCACCACCTTTCTGGCCAAAGGGCCATTTCAATGGTTGGTTGAACAAGGAGAAATTGCATTTTTCTTCCACCCAAGCTGCCCTCTCTGCCATTTGCAGCCTGTAGTGTCACTATCAACCCACCATCAGCGAGGGGAAAGGAAACTGGGAAAGTGACAGAAAGATGACAAGTTGCCCATGAAAATTACTAGGACAAAAGATCAGGTCTTCACTAAGGATGAACATGACTCTGTGGGAGTGTTTAGCCATCAGATCAGAAATTTGGAATTGGACAGGTTGGGAGAGAAGAAAAAAAGATTACTGCAATAATTTGGGAAAAACTTCTTGAGGGAGCAAAGATGACTTAAATTGGATGTGCTAAACAGAATTTTCACTACTAATTTCTGAATGAAAAGATGCTACTTTTCCATAAGAAAGACAAGTATTTGTGTTCAAATGATACTCATAAACTGTTCCCTGACCAGGCTTCCATAAATCGTCTCCTGCCCATGTATCACAGCCTTTGAAACCATTGATGGTATTCTGGGAGCAACACGCCTCCACCCTCCCCTCGGGTACCATAAATACAGTCCATTATCAGCCAGCAACAGCGATTCCAAATCTGAGGCCCCAGAAGTTGGAGACCGGACTAAGTGCAGAATAGGATCCAAGCTCAGACGTTCCTTGAAAAGTTTTGACTCCAGCTCTTCTGACTTCTTGAGCCTGCCAACTTGGAATGGAAACCTCTTGAGAACATGTTTTCTTACAAAATTCAAAAAGAGCTTTGCTGTGAGCCAACAGCTGGAAATGCCGTGAGAGCAGGCGCTCTTGGAGATCTGATTTCTTACAGCATTTTGGCACCTCTGGTTCGGCTCCTGGCGGGCAACCAGAAGCTGGAGAGGTAATAAAACATGGTATGCTCCCAGGACAGCTCTGGGGTAGGCTCCTTTCTGGAGAGAGGACGGCTCATGCCAGGAGAAGGGCTGGGCCCCATGCTTTTGCTGCTCTCAGTGGAAGGGACATAGGGAGCATCTCTGGAGGGGTGCACTGACACCAATACCGTGTTTTTCCTGGTGACAGGCACCAGGGCAGCTTCCTTTGTTAGGTCAGTCAATGCATGCTGGGTTTCTGGATAGCCCTGGCCCTGAAAAAATTTAGGAACACAAGTGATTGTAGAGGCAGCCACTGCAAACAAAAGCTTAATTTACTAGCTTCAATCCTAAAGCAATTTTTAAGCAGTAGTAGTCTATTCCCCAATCATTTCTAAAATAACTGGAAATAACTAGGCCAATTAGATTTCAGTACCTATGGTTCTTAGTGTGTTTATATTTCCCTTCTTTTTACCTGCTTCATTCTAATATTCTTGTTCATCATTTTCTCTTAGTAGAACAAAGAGACAAGATGCTAAGGAGCCAAGTTTACAAATGTGGAAGAGGTGATTCTAATCTCACTGCTGGTACAGACTCTATTTCGTCCCCTCAAGTGCGTGTCCAGAAGGCATAGAGTATTTGAATGTCCTTCAAGAAGGAGCCAAAGCAAATGGCATCTGCCACACTAACTCCAGTGGAGAAAAAGAATCTCACTACTCAGGCCAGTATATTATCCTCCCTGTCAAAACAACTACACCTCAACTCTCACCCATCAACTTCTCGATTATCCTCCTTGGTTATGAAAATTAGTGCCTGTTAAACTTTAGATTACAGAGAGAAATAGCCAAGCTCAAATTTTCTGATAGCCAATATATGACTACCCACCAGAAGGACCCACATAGATCCAGGGGACGACTATGTGTGATCAAACACCATGGTCCTGCACAGTGCCCCAATCCACGTGAGGGTGCATTATGAAGACTTTACTGTGGACAAAGCAACTTGGGCCAAGGTAAGGCGTGAAGCCACACTGGCACTTGGCCCATTGAAGCCACTTGGAGTGATAGCATTGCCAGATAAAATGCAGGATGTCCAGTGAAATTAGAATTTCAGATAAACAATGAATCATTTTTAGAATGAGTATATCGGGTGCAATATTTGGGACATACACTAAAAAGTTAGTTGCTCTTCTGAAATCAAATATGACTGGGCATTCAGTATTTTATTTGCAAAATCTGGTCATCCTAATTTGGAGTTTCTGTTGGTGGTGAAGCAGCCAATTGCATTCACGCCCAGACCCATGAAACCGCACTGGGAGCCAATGCAAGGCCCTAGGACTCAGCAGGGTGCTAGAGAGATGCAGCAGGAATTTCACTTCCAACACCCCCTCACCCACCTCCACTCCCAGGGACCTCGGTGAGATGCTCCGTGACTTGGAAGCAGCTTTCTCAGGAAATTAAGCCAAGATGCCTGAAGCCTGAGAAGGAAAATAGATCCAACTTGAAAAGAACAAGTAAGTTTTTAAATAAGGAAATGTTATTAACTGAAAGCAGAGAGACTGGAAATCACCACCTTTTCAGAATGACTAGAGGGAAAGAAGTATCTCATAATAGAAAAAAATAAAGAGCAAGAGGCAGAGGGAGATGAAGATATCCAGCCTTCCTGGAGCCCTTGCTTTGATCCCTCCACTTCACCAGGGCTTAGAAAGACCCTTCAGATGGGCATTGTGTAACAAGGCCTGTACCACTTCCCTCATAGAGCCTTTAAAACTCTTTTATTATGATTATTACTGTGATTTATATATAAGGAACACAGTGCCATTGCATAAATTTAGAGAACTTCAAAAAGAAGAAAATAAAAATTACTCACATTCCTGAGATTAAAAGATAACCACTGTATATCCTTCCATCATTTATCTCAGCATATATACAAAGTTTACAGCATTGGAATTATAAAGCATATAACATTTTGTAACCTACTTTTATCACTTAATATATTGTGAATGTTATTGCATATGCTTAAATAGTTTCTGAGAATATAATTTTTAATGACTACTTAGTATTCCATTGCTTTTAATGGACCACAATTTATTTAACCCATTTTCTCTCATTGGATATTGATACTGTTGCCCATTTTTCACTGTTAGAGAGAGCACCACACAGTCTTCTCGTATGCACAGCTCTTTAGGATTCTCTAATTATTGACTTGAGAAAAATACCTGAAAGTAAGACTCTTGGGTCATGAGGTGTGAATATTGTTAAGGTTTTAATTCACATTGCCAATGTATCCTCCAGAAAATCTTATACACAATATATAAGAGTTGCTGTTTTCCCATAACCTTGCCAACGCTGGGCATCGCCTCTTTCAAAAATCTTTACAATATTGATCAGCCAAAAATCTTTCTCATTATTTAAAATTTAATTTGCTCATTTCTAATGGGATGAACATTTCTTCAAATGTTAGTTGAGCATTTGTGGTTCTTATTTAACGACGCTTTTTTCACATTTTTGGGCATTTTTTAAAACTTTTGCCAAAATTTATGGACTACAGGTAATAATCCTTTACATAACCATATGCTACAATGTGTTCCCATTGTAGGAACTGTTAAGATCAGTTAGGGTGTAATCTGGTGTTAAGAATTTTCAAATGTTTATGTAGACAAGTTTTTATCATTTTTCTTTGTGATACCTTGAGCTTCCTCACCTGCCTTGATACCAGATAAACATGCAGCTGTTACTGTTGAGTTCTTCTGGGTCTCTTACACCTGCCCCTTTTGTCTGCTGAAATGAATTTTCATCTAGGACTGATAATGGGATTTTTTCCAAATAATTAACCTGCCTTTTTTTTTTTTTTTTTTTTTTTGAGACAGAGTTTCACTCTGTTGCCCAGGCTGGAGTGCAGTGGTACAATTCTCAGCTCACTGCAACCTCTGCCTCCTGGGTTCAAGCAATTTTCCTGCCTCAGCTTCCTAAGTAGCTGAGATTACAGGCACCTGCCATCATGCCTGGCTAATTTTTTGTATTTTTTTTTTTTTTAGTAGAGACAGGGTTTCACCATTTTGGCCAGGCTGGTCTCGAACTGCTGACCTCAAGTGATTCACGCGTCCTGGCATCCCAAAGTGCTGGGATTACAGGCATGAGCCACCTGCCAAACCTGCCATCTTAAAATCATCCACTGAAGATCTCTTTTCTCCATGGATTTAAAATGCCACACTTATCATAGCCGAGTGGGGCATTGGGTGCCTCTGACATTCTCCATGTTCCCCCTCTGCCTGTCTGATCTCGCACCTACACTCCACCCTGTAACCACTAAAGCTGTGGAACTCTTCTTAGTAACAGGCATACCTTAGAGATGTTGTGGGTTCCATTCCAGACAATTGCAACAACGTGAATGTCTCAATACAGTGAGAAGAGAAGGGGAGGGAAGAAAAGAGGATGTAAATTTTTTGGTTTCCTAGTGCCTTGCAAAAGTTATTTTTATACTATGTATACTATTAAGTGTGCATGAGCATTGTATGTATAAAATGCAATGTACATAGCTTAATTTTAAAATACTTCATTGCTAAAAAATGTTAAGGATCACCTGATCTTTCCTGAGTCATCTCGTTGCTGGTACAGCGTGTTGCCTTGATGTGCATGACTGTGAAGTGATCAGGATGGTGGTTGCTGAAGGTTGGGGTGGCTGTGGCAATTTCTTAAAATAAGACAACAATAAAATTTGCCACATCAATTGAATCCGCCTTTTATGAAAGATCTCTCTATAACATGTGATGCTTTTTCATGGCATTTACTCACAGTAGAACTTCTTTTAAAAACAGAGTTGGCCAGGCACAGTGGCTCACACCTGTAATCCCAGCACTTTGGGAGGCCCAGGCAGGCGGATCATGAGGTCAGGAGTTCGAGACTATCCTGGCCAACTTGGTGAAACCCCGTCTCTACTAAAAATACAAAAATTAGCTGGGTGTGGTGGCACATGCCTGTAATCCCAGCTACTCAGGAGGCTGAGGCACAGAATTGCTTGAATCCAGGAGGTAGAGGTTGCAGTGAGCCAAGATTGCATCCCTGCACTCACTCCAGCATGGCGGCAGGGCAAGACTCTGTCAAAAACAAAACAAAACTAAAAAGCCGAGTCAACCCTCTTAAACACTGCCATTGCGTTATCAACTAATTTTATGTAACAGTCTTTATCCTTCGTTTTCATTTCAACAGTGTTCACAGCATCTTCACCAGGAGTATATTCTATCCCAAGAAACCAGTTCCCTTGCTCTTCTATAAGAAGCAAGTCCTCATCCACTCAAGTGTATCTTGAGATTGCAGCAATTCAGTCACGTCTTCAGCCTCCACTTTGTAATTCTAGTTATTCTATTTTCCACCATGTCTGCAATTACTTCCCCCAGTGAAGTCTTGAACTCCTCAAAGTCATCCGTGAGAACTGGAATCAACTTCTTCTAAACTCCTGATAATATTGATATTTTAATCTTCTGAATTTTGAATGTTCTTGATGGCATATAGAATGGTAAATCCTTTCTAAGTTTTCGATTTACTTTGCCCAGATCCATTGTAAGAATTACTATCTACGGCAGCTACAGCCTTATGAAATGTATTTCCTAAATAGTAAGACTTGAAAGTCAAAATTACTCCTTGATACATTGGCTGCAGAATGGATCTTGTGTTAGCAGGCAGGGAAGCAACATTCATCTCCTTGTACATCTCCAACAGAGCTTTAGGGTGGCCAGATGCATTGTCAATGAGCAGTAATATTTTGAAAGGAATCTTTTGTGTGTGTGTGTACAGTAGATCTCAAAAAATGGGCTTTAAATATTCAGCAAACCATGCTATAAACAGATGTGCTGTCACCCAGGCTTTGTTGTCCTATTTATAGAGCACAGACAGAATAGATTCAGCTTAATTCTTAAGGGCTCTAGGATTTTTAGAATGGTAAAGGAGCATTGGCTTCAACTTAAAGTCACCAGATACATTAGCCCCTATCAAGAGAGTCAGCCTGCCCTTTGAAACTTTGAAGCCAGGCATTGACTTCTCTGTAGCTATGGAAGTCCTAGAGGGTATCTTCCAGTATAACGCTGTTATGCCTATATTGAAAATCTGTTGTTTAAAGCAGCCACCCCAGTAATCTTAGCTAGATCTTCTGGATAACTTGCTGTAGCTTCTCCATCAGCATTGCTGTTTTACCTTGCACTTTTATGTTATGGAGATGGTTTCTTTTCTTAAATCTCATGAACCAATCTTTCTTACAGGCTTCAAACTTTTCTTCTGCAGCTTCTTTACCCTCTCAACCTTCATAGAATTGAAGAGAGTTAGGATCTCATGGTGGATTAGGCTTTGGCTTAAGAGAATGTTGTGGCTGGATTGATCTTCTATCCAGACCACTCAAACTTTCTCCATATCAGCAATAAGGTTGTTTCACTTTCTTATCATTTGTGTGTTCACTAGAGTAGCACTTTTAATTTCCTTCAACTTACATTTTCCTTTGCATTGACAATTTGGCTAAGTTTAGCACAAGAGGCCTGACTTTCAGCCTAAGTCATCTTTTAACACATCTTAATCATTTCTAACTTTTGATTTAAAATGTGAGATATTCAACTCTTCCTTTCACTTGAACACTTAGAGGCCATTGTAGGATTATCATTTGGTCTAATTTCAATCTTTTTGTGTCTTAGGGAAGCCCAAAAGGAGGGAGAGACAAAAGAATGGCTGATCAATGGAGCAGTCACAACACATACATTTATCAATTAAGTTCATTGCCTTACATGGGTACAGTTCATGACACCCCACAATAATTAAAAGAGTTTCATTAAAGATCACTGATCACAAGTCATCATAACAGATTTAATAGCAATGAAAAAGTTTGAAATATTGCAAAGCATCACCAAAATGTAATACAGATAGGAACACGCTGTTGGAAAAAAAATGGCACCAATAGACTTGCTCCATTTGTTAAAAATAAATAAATAAATAAATAAAAATAAAAATTAAAAAAAAAGCAATATCTGCAAAGCCCAGTAAAATGAGATGTACTTGTCCTCTCCACTGTTCTCCTCCATTAGGAATCAATATTTTTGCTATTCTTCTAGAACAGTCTGAAGCCAATCCCAAATTTGAATTGAGATTGGAATTGCCCTAATACAAGTTACATTGTGCATATTTGACCTCTGTGCATTATTCAGAACCAAGGGCTATATCTCTGTTTATTCAACACTTCCTTGACACCCCTCAAGACCTGCTGTTCTTTTCTTCACGTGGGTCCCTGGTATATCTCACTAGGTTTACTCCTAGAATTTAGTGTCCTACATTGATCTTGTGTATTGAAAATATTTTATCTTCTCATTTTCCAGCTAATTATTAATGGAAGATAAGAAAATTTTTGATTTGTGCATGCTACTTTTCTTTAAAAAGAAACTATTAACTACTTTCTTTAAAATATTCTCTTAGAGTTTCTAGATATGGGCGCAGTTTTTTTATCTATTCCTTAATTTTATTTCTCCTTACTGTCTTATCATACCTGCTAGAACTTTCAGAACAACGATCGTAATGATGGTGATTGTAGCATCCTTACCCCAATCTTGACATTAACTGCAGAGTCTTTGAAGGACCTTCATTAAATGCAATGTAGCTGCTGATTTTCTATTGTTGTTATTGTTCTTTTTTTATGTCAAGGAACTGTTCTATTCCTAACTTATTAAGTTTTTATCAGAAATTGATGTTGAATTTTATCAGATGCCTTCTGGGAATCTATTGAGGTTTTACTTCTTTTAATCTACGGATGTGATATATTTTATTAATAGATTTCTGAATATTAAAACATTATTATATTCCTAGAATAGACCTATATGGTATATGAAAATGTTGTTTTCCACTTGCTATTTGCTATATATTATTTAGGACTTTTTGGTTTTTGATTCAACAGCTATGGACACATCTCACCAGGAGCCAGTGCCGTGCACTACTCTTACTTCATCCTCCAGGGAGCTGGGTCTGGAGTTTTCTGACACTTTTTCAAATTTTAGATTCAAGCCCCAGATCGTTCTGTGAAATGTGCCAGGAAGCATTCTCTCCCTGTGCTTTGCAATCATTCATATAGCAGGATAAGTATTTGTTCTTACAAAAGAAATCCCTCACTTCCAAACTCTGACAGATTCTAAAATCAATCTGAAAGACCAAAATTCTGAACTTAGAGGGATCAACACAAGAAATTAATATGAAAGTATTGCAAAATCATAACTATTAAGCCTAAGACAACTTTCAAAATTTTTCTCCGTGGTTATTACCCTGTAGAAATACGTGAAAATTTATATTTCCTTCAGAAAAACGTTACATTTCACTGATAGTTTATTACCACTGTTTTAATATGTAGCATTTCTTTATAGCTTTTATCACCATTATTTATAGTTTTATTAATTCTATTCTCTTCCTTTATTTCCTCAATCATGGTTATTAAATTCCTCACTTCTCCATATTTACAGTTTTTTCTTTTTATCCCAAATAGATCTTTCAGTGGTTAAACTTTTCTAAGGTGTATTTGTTTGTTTTTAAAGTTCTTGAATTTATCAAGTTTACTTTTTCCATGTTTTGTTTCATAAATTTCTCTTTTGTAGTGTTTATTATTTTTTAAACATCCTTAAACTTAATATCTTGGATTTTCTAAAACTATAAAAATAAGTGGTTATTAGAGGTTTTTATTGTTGTTTATTCTTATTTACTAACAAATATATTTAATCTGATGTGTTTAACTCTGAATTGACTTTGGGCTTCATCTTTAATTTTTATATGTCTTTGTTTTTTAAGTATCCTTGAATTAGAGACTTTATTTAATCTAATACTGGGGGAGTATTATTTTAATTTTTAAGTGTATTATAGTTGGTGGTAATTTTTGTTATTAAAATTTGTGTCCATTTTGTTATAGCTACAAATATGGTCTGTATAGTTTGTTACTTAAGAGATTTCATTATGTTTTTCTTTGTAATTAAGACATTTTGATCATCAATTTTTACAAACATATTATGGATATTATCCTCATTGTTTGCATGGTACAAAGTTTACTACGGCTTATTAAACACAAATCAACTCTATTTGTTATAAGTTATTCGGTTTTTAATCTCTCTGTTTAATTTTGTTCATTCATCTTGTCCTATACTGACCATGGCATATGAAAATTACTCACTGGGTTAATCATGTTTTTGTCAATTTCTTCTTATATTTTTATTTTTACTTTATATATTCCTATAATTATATTTCACACATATGGGTTTATTATTCATATATACATTCATGGCACATTTTGCTTTTTATTTATATGAAAATCATTGAAACTGTTTCAACTCTTAATTTGATATTGCTTCTACTTTTCAGTTACTTGTATTTACTTGACATGTCTTTGTCCAACCCCTATTTTCCGATCTTTCTATGTCTTTTTATTTTATATGTATCTTTTGTCACTAGACTTTAATTCAACTCTGCTTTTCAATCAAGCCTGCAAGTCTGTCATTTGAGGAATTTGGCCTCTTCACATTTATCACTGGACTTATTTCTATTGTGCCTTATTTTTTAATACGTTCTTGTTGCTTCCCTTTATTCATCTTTTACTAAATAATTTTCCTTAACTCTTTTTTTCTTTGGTAATTTTCAAAGAGTAACTCCTGTTTTTATTCCATGTGTGGTTATTTCTACACCCCTTTTTATAATCACTTTTTTTTTTTTTTAGTTACCGTTAACACCATGATATTATCCAATGTCTCTTCCCAAGGAAAACAAAAGTTTAACGCACATTTACTTTTTCTTTCCCTATCTCATTTGTCAACTTTTGTTTTTATTATCTAATAGCTAGAGTAGATAATCAATACTTAATTATTTGCATAGCATGCCTTTGGCTCTTAATAATTATATTTTGTACTTGGGTTGCTTTTTAATCATATGAGTCACAGTTATTTCAACTCTACATACCTTGCTGGTTTTGCTGTTTACTTCTTTTCTTTTAGCTATGACTTCCCCATCCTTCCATAGCTGGCTGCAGGGTATCTTCAATACATTTTTAAAGAAGGGTACATGAGTGTTATATTTTTGAGGTTCTTTGCATATCTGAGAATGTCCTTTGCTGTAGCCAATTCTAATCAACATACACATAATGTGCACCTTCCATGTGTCTGGCGTGTTGCTAGGTCCAAGGAAGAGAGAATTAATGAGATAGCATAAATCTTTACAGTCTTTACCTTATGCAATTTGCAGACTAACTGGATGCTACCTAAAAATGACACATTGTCAGGGTAGAGAAGACTTGCATCAAAATATCATTCTAAAAAAAAACTCTGTAAACACTCACTCATTGTTGTCTAGTCTTTATCATTGCAGAAAAATTTACCCACTATCCAATCTGTCTCAAGGTACAGATGATCATGTGAGATGGGGGATATCGGAATTGAATTTTTTTCAGGTACAGTGTTCAGGTAAATAACAAAATAAACAAAACAATTCATAATCTCAAGCGGAACAGAATATGAGCTCTGTGTTCCAATAAAAGTGAAAACGGATTTGGTCTTTTTGTAGGTAGAAGAAACTCATAGCAGTTTGAGTTTTACTTCTTCTTAGGTTGATTTTTTTTAGCCTGCATGCACATTTGTTTTCAACATTAAAAATCAAGTTCCACTGATTGTGTTTGGTACTCATAAAGCCCTTTTGATTCCTCAGAGATAACACTGGCTTCTCTGTTCACTGTACTCTCTTCTTCAGGAATTCCCATTATACATACATTGGATCTCTTGACCTTCCAGGTCTCCTACTTAATTTTTTATCATTTTATTTATTTGTCACTTTTCTCTGAGCTTCTCCGTATTCTCAGGTTTATCTTCTATGTCGATGAATCAATTGTCTACAATTAACTGCCCACGTTGCAGTTTAAATTTAGCAATTATTTGGAAACAGCCTTTGAGGGTCTTGCTTTTTCCCCTGCAAAAATAAATGCCAGTTCTGATTTCATAGGTGCAGTGCCACCCTAAATTTTGTGAAAAATAGAAAAGAAGAACTTTCTAGAATTTTCTGCTTCTTGCTGCTACCTCATTTCACAGAGCAACATTTGTTCTGAGTCCTTAAAACTTCTGATTGTTTTATCATAAGTCACCATTATTTGCTTATCTTTGTAAAGAAAGGTTTCTTTTGCCCATTTTAGAGTTATCATAGTTTCTGTAGCTAAATCAATATTTCAGGCAGACACTAAAGGATATAGGAAAAGTTGAAGGCTCTATACTTGCTCTGTGAGGTTGCTTGCCCAGCAGGGTGACTGTGGAGGGAGCAGGGCCGGGGCCCTTCTGTGGAGGTGCTCTCCTCTGTCTGAGAGTGTCTCTCCACACTTCTGGGAGAAGACTTTCCCTTCTCTGCAAGGTATGGCTGTTGGCAGGGTCCTCATGTGCTCTCCTGCCACCTCAGTCCCCAGTCCAGCCCTTCTAGCTGGGGAACAACACTGCAGGTCTGTGGGGTCTTTCTGAGAGAGATCTCAAATTCACTTTCCTTCTTTGATGGGAAGACATGGTTAGGGTCGATCCTTCCTTCCTTGTTGTCCTGTGTGCCAAAAAAATTACAAAATCTTGAGTTTCCTGTTCTGGGGATGCTACTGTAGGGTGCAGCTCCAACTTTGGGTTTTCACGACTTTCTCATGTCTCTAGTCTTTTCCATGGGAAGCTCGGTAGTCAGCATGGGGAGAGATGGCAACCACGAGCCCACCAAAGGCACCAGGGCCCAAACCCACCTGAGAATGAGGAGGAGGGGCCAGGTTGGGGGGAGAGGAAGTGCCTCGCTGCGGGCTCCTGCCCCCAATATGTAAGACAGGCTGCTGCTCCTCAACGCCAGGAGGGTCCTGAGCCCACCCAGCCCAGCATAGGGGAAGAAGGGCCCTGTGGGCAACGTGGGCCAGCTCTCCTAAAGGAGTTGACCTGTGGGGTCTGAGAAGGAGAGCTGACTCCAGCCTCTGCCACTGAGACCATTCCTGCTTCCACTGTCCTCTGGGGCCCAAGTTCCCCAGCTCAGAAGGAAGGAGGGTGGGAGTGACCAGGCTCTCTGGCAAGGCCTTCCGGCCCGACTCGGGACCCCAGCACTCATTGCAGCTCCCCCAGCCCAGCTCGCTGCATCAACAACATTTTCCCTCTCTCTGTTGGGAGAACTAGGGATTCTTTCATTAAGAAACATTTTTATGTTGGCCTCTGACTCAAGGAGCAACAGAAGGCAAAGACGAGCGACTTTCACATCACAGTGAAAATAAAATTTCCTCTAGACAGTCAACAGCAACACCCTGAGAGCAGGAAGGTAAATATGTACTTTCTCCTTGTCCTCTCTCATTTTCCCCTTTTGTGTGTTAAGAAGCCCCTGTTTTGCGCGGCCGGCAGGAAGGCGTTGCGTGGGAACGCCTGCAAATCTGCAGGACCCGGAGAGTGGGGGCAGCGGCATTCTTGATCTCACTCCTATCGATCGCCTCTAATGAGCGCCCGTGCAGCTGCGGCTAATGGTGGTGCGTCTGGTGTTAAGGGCAAGTGTGGGAGAAGATTATCAACCCAAGGGGCTTCACAGTTGCCGGACTGCCCAGAGCCCTCGGGGCGAGGATGCACTTGAGAGGTCACTGAATCAAATGAGGAAGATTCAGTGCCTGCCGCAGGAAGAAATGCAGCAGGACTGGAAATTTTTTTCCAACAGAGACTACAGGCATCAACAAAACCGTTACCTTCTGCTAGTCATTAGTCCCTGACCCTTTGCCGGATAAGAAGACTCCTACCGGAGCCGCCTCGTCCTAATTATGACTCATCAGACGGCAGCAATCCTACCCAATTAGTGGGGCTTAAGCGAGGGGCACTTGATGGAACAAGGGTCCGAGCCCCGTGTGAACCAGGGAAAGCTGAAGGCCTGATCCAATGCCCTGCACCCTGAGTCTGCTCTTACCTGGGGGGCCAGGCTGCCATTTGATCTGACGCACTTGATATTTCATTCACTGTGTTGCTCGCCACCCCCCTCGGAGATCTGACAGGGGCCAGATGAGTGGCCATAAGAGGTGCTGAGGCCAGTGGCCTTCAAGGGACAGCTAACCGGCAGATCCCATAGAATGCTTGCAGTCAAATGTCAGCACAGAAAGGGAGCCACAGGTATTAGACAAGATAAAAAAAAAATGACTGTCGAATGCCTTCAGGGGTCGGGCATGTTGCACATTCTGAACTTTAATAGCATAATGGAGTAATTGCAGCTGGGAAAAGAACTCAGACCCAGCAGGAAGGGTGAGCGCACTGAGGCTGGGAAACGCAGGCAGCGGGGAGGGGGCAGGGAGTGAGGACGCATGTCCCATGCTTTGCAGAAATGCCCAAACCACTATTTATTTTAATGCTGTAAATAAGCAATTTAAATATTATCCTAGTTCCATAATAAGTAACATGGTAACGTGATACCCTGCGGTTATAACAAATTATTTATTAGGTTTTTTAAAATTCTAAGGCAGCGTCTTTGTAACTGGGAGATTTACATTGGGTCAGATCATTAAAAATATGGGTGTGGATTGGCCCCTGCCGCGTGAGGGAACATTGATCTCTGAAACATGATTGACAACCACATTCTCTTTGTCAGCTTTTCCTACAGGAGCGGAAAGGTCTTTAAAAGTGGTCACCCCACAAAATCACCACATACACCCAAAACCCACCCTGTATGCTTCCAGCCCCTCTTCGTGTGTTTAGCAGAAGGAGAGAAAAAGGACCCAAAAGACCTGGGCTGGTTGCCCCAGAAGCCGCTTCAGCTGTAAGCCCTGGCATGTGCACATTCAAAATCATGCCGGTGTTTGTTTCCAGGGCACCTGAAAAGCAGGTTGGGAAGCATCGAGTTTAGTGAAGACCACATTCAACTTTCTCAGGACCCAACATCATTAAGGGCATTAACCTTTACCGATGGAGCGAAAAAGATAGTGGGGGCTGAGCTGGCCATTATTAATAAAAATTAGCCTTCTTATGAATATATTAATTAAATTTTTATTTCTTAATTAGATCCTTACATATCTAGCTTAGGAGCCCTTTCTTTAGCTCAATGTAAGATACCACTGAACTTACCAAGAAATAGAAGGAGGGACTCCTGACCTCAGCGGTTCTGACAAAGTCAGAGAATATTGTGGGCCAGCATGTCTGTGATTAGGAACCAAGTATGAGAGACAAGTAGGGCTGTGGATCCTCACAAGGGGAGTCCTGGGTGCTGAGATGATCAGGGAGGACAAGCGGTGAGCACGTGGGCAAAGCAGAGCACGGTTAGGAGCAGGCAAAGGATGGGAAAGGCTCCAAGTGCGAGCACAGAATAAGCTGAGGTGTGGGGCCAGGAGCACCTGAGGAGAGCATTAGATAGTACATAGAGGGTGTTCCCAAACTTATCAACAAAGATCACACACCCACAGAGCAGGGCAGATCAAAATATGGAAAGAGAAATCCATGACTGAGCTCTTTAGTATGTGTGTTTTTCTCCTTTTGTAAGCTTTCTATAATGCGCATATATTACTCAGAATGAGAAATGTAAGTTTATGGAAAAAACTACACAAACTGTGAATGGGCACATTCAGTTGCATAGAAGAACAAGTGTGAGGTCAAGAGGGAGCTGCCGCCAGACGTTGGAGGCCTGGAGAGTCAGAGGGAGGGGTCACAGCATAGCCACAGGCTTTCCCAGAGGCAGGCTCAGCATTGCAAGGGTCAGGGAGCCCCCACGTGGCAAGGCTCTGAGTCTTGTCCTCTTGTAGATCCAGCTCATTCCAAAGCCACCACCCCATGGCTGCCACTGAGTGACTTGGGCTCTGTCCACCCTGCTGCAGAGAGCAAGGACACAAATGACCATTGGAAAGGATGAAGTTGGTGGCATGTGCGGTGTTTCTAATCAACACATGGAAAGCGGAAGTCAGGTTCAGGTTTGTGGTCTATACAGAGCGTCTTCATGTGCCTAGTGCTGAGTTGGGCATGGGAGCTCATGGGGTGGGGAGTGGCGGCTGCAAGAGTGTAAGGCCAGATCTCTGCCCTCAGGAGCCTGAACTGTCTGGGGAAATTTGCATTCTCTGCACTCCTTCTAGTGCAATGAGCCAGGTGAACCTCCTTGTTGGTCCAAACCTATGATACAAAGCCCCACTGCGCAATTAGATTCTCATCTGCTAAAGCTCAAAATGAC